ATGTCACTGATCTCAAAGTGCCATAAAACATCACAAAAACATAACAACCTGAAGAAAACTCCAAGTGATGATGGTAGTAGTAGTAATAACTGTGAACTGGGTGGTCAGTGGATGCCAGAGACCTTGAGACAGGTGCTAGTACACAGAACCCACTGTTGCTGTCATTCAACTTTTTTTCTTTAATTTGAGTCATGTGCAGCATTCTCTGTATGCCTGAGAAATGCTTTAAAAGCTACCCAAGGTCCCAGAGTGAGTGGGCAAGGCGGACAGGCCAGCTCCGGGCCATAAGCCCGGGCCCCTGCTATCCCGGGCATGCCTGCCCCATGCTGTGCTCAGCTCCAGAGTCACTCATTTTCATCACTGTACTGTGCCTTCCTTGGACCTCACCAGAGGGTACTTTGGCTTACTCAGGAAAAGAAGAGAAGGAAGAAGGAAATGGGAGGGATCAGGGCTTCGTATTCTGGGCAGCTTTTTAGAACTGGGACTAATGGATGCAAATGTCTACTACTACAATTCATCTAAAAATATTATGACCCCATAAGTGTCAAGTCCAGGCTGGGTGACCACCCATCAGAATTGCCAGGAGGGTCTCTACCACAAGGATGGTGTCAGAGATCTGAAAAGCTGAGTTTCTAATACTGCTGTGTAGTCTACTGGGGGGCAGTCTATCTTTGAGCAGAAAAGAGGGCTCAGGCAGTCCAAGTCCACTGCTGCAGCAAAGCTGCTCCCACTACCCTTGACAGAATTCTTCTCTTTTTTATGCATTTAGTACAGGGTCTCACAACACAATTGGACTCATAGTGATCCTCCTGTTTCAGCCCCCCAAGCACTGGGATTACAGGCATATGCCACTACGCCCAGTCTCAATCACGTCTCAGCGTGCCCCAGGGGTGGAGCCGGCATGACACGCCGGGAATCGAACCCTGGCCACTGCGCTCTGCCTAAGCAGGTGCTTTAGTCCACTGAGCTATCAGGCTGGCCTTTGACCCCATTCTTAAGCTCAGAACTGCTGCACTCAGTGACCAAGCCTGACAATATTCAGAGGAAAGAAAGTGGGGAGTGGAGGAAAGAAAGTAGCTTCCATACAGCTTAATGGTCTATAATTACAAAGCAGATTAGGCCAAAGCCATACCAGGGGTGGGTAGCTCTTGAGTCAGGAGGACAGGGCGCCCAGAACACGTGGGAACAAGATGGGCCTGTGCTGGTGTGCTAGGGTTGGGGGTGAGGGGCAAGTGCCCCACCCAAACTCTGCCCTCTGTTTCCTGGCTATCTCGTGTACCTGCTCTGGCCAGCCAAAGACTTTGGAAAGTCAGGTACATGCTCTATTCCACTATGTTCTTGCCTGTTCACCTTTAGATATGCTCAAGTTTGTCCCTTACCCAAATAAACAATTCTCTTTGACCCCATGTTCGGCTCCAGTTAATACTTGCTTCCACCCTCCATGGCCAAACTTCTAGAAAGGATTAGCTACCTGTGCTATCCCAACACTGTCCCTTCTTTCATTTTAAAGAGAAGAAAAATAATAATAATCATGGTGTAAAATTTCAAAACAATATTGTAGGAGATAACAATGCTCAGTACATGGTGCATTGTTATCTTTGAAATAATTGCTCACAATCAAGATATAGGCATGAAAAACTGATCAAGCAATATAAGCACATACCTACCCTTTCAACGACTGTATATTTCCCCTTCCTTCTTTTTGTCTTTTCCCCATTCCAGTTTCTCTTTTCTTTTGAGCATTTTCTCACTGTAATGGGTTCTCAACATAGGAAACCAGACCAGAATCCAATATTAAAATTGAACGGGCCTGGGACCGCTTGACCATACTCACGCAGGAGAGGACAAATGGCCCAGAGCCTTAGAAGGGTAAAGGTTTTAAAGCTAGAAACCATATTCTGTTTGGCAAACAAATTTGTTATTTAGCACAGAACAGTACCTTTAGGGACAGTGTGACCATTACTCAGCATACATTTTTTTCTGGGAGCATTGTCTAGTTCTCTTTTAACATACATCTGCATATGCGTGGCCTTGACTACCACAGCTATGCTTTTCAGTTGGTTAGCAACACTCTAGTTATTTTGTACAGTTAGAAGCATTTTGACCTTTACTTTGATTTAATTTGGAGGTCTATTCTGGGAACTCACATTCTATTGATGGTTTATCGACAGTACGCCAAGCCTTTTTGTGGTCTTACAAGGAAGCAGAGTCACAGAAAGCTGAACAGAGTGATTTTTTACATTTAGTTTTACATTAACTCATCACACTTACCATTTCACAATATCTATTGTATATTTGGGGTCTTATTTACTCTTTCAGCTTCTTACATGAGGGAGAAAATATGATGTTTGTGTGAGACTGGTTTATTTCACTTATAAGTATGGACTCAAGTCACATCCATTTCCTTATAAATGTCTCAAGTTTATCCTTCTTTATAGATGAGTAATATTCCATTGTATAAAATACTACACCTTTTTTATCATTTCCTCCGTTGATGGGCTCTGGGTTGTTTCCAAGATTTTGCTATGACAAATTGTGCTGCTATGCACATGAGTGTACACACATCACTGTGCTATGTTTTAATTCTTCTGGGAAAATACCCAGAAGGGGAGTAGCTGGGTTGAATGAGACCTCTAATCCTAGTTTTCTAGGACTCTCCAGACTGATCTGCATAGTCTACACTCCCTTCAACAGTGAAGAAGGATTCCTTTTTCCCCATACCCCCTCCAGCATTTGTTATTGATCGATTTCTTTTATTGATCAATTTCTTGATGATAGATATTCTTCCTGGGGTGAGATGGAATCTCAGTGTTGTTTTAATTTACATTTCTTGAATGACCAATAATGTTGAACACTTTTTCACGTATTTATTTGCCATTTGTATTTCTTCATCTGAGAAATGTATACTCACTCATCCCACTTTGGATTAGGTGTTTGAATTTGGGGTGGATCTGACTTTTTTCAGTTATATGCTCTAGGTAGAAGTCCGTTGTCTGAAGGTGTCCCTTCTTTTTCACTTGCAGTTCACAGCAATTCATTTGGTTTCTTTGGCATTTCCACTCCTGAAGCTGCCCTCACTGACCTACCAATGACTTGGGTCTGTTTTTCTCAATCCAGTGAGCACAGTTTCTCTGGCCCTCCTGCAGCCTGCAAGATTGCCATTTACCTTCTTTCTTATCTTCAAACCCTTTCTTCACTGTGGTGATGGAGTAGATGCTGGGGCCCTGGGGACAGAATTTTTGCACTTGGAATGAGGTTGAAAATGACAGTTTATAACATCATCCTCCAGCCTCAAGTGATTTGATCCAATTAAAACAGTAATATCAATGAGGTCTTGGTTCAGTGAGCCTCTAATCCCAGGCACTCAGGAGACTGAGGTATGAAAATTATAAATTTGAGCCCAGCCTGGGTGACTTAGTGAGAACGTCTAAAAAAAGGTAAAAAGATGTCAAATGAAAAGCAGTAATTTTTTATAGCTAAAAAGATCATGAACTGGCCTTTAATGCCTCAGAGGCTCTGAGGTTTTGTTTGGCTCTCCACACAGGAGTGGGAATATACCATATGATGTATGTGGCAGCAAAAGCTTCACTCGTCCCCAACTATCTTTGCTGTATCTCATCTTTGTCCCCACAAGAATGCACCTATACCATAGGCAGTGTGTGGCTTGCCCAGAACAAACTGGACATCATCGCCACCAGCCCTGCCAGGGACCACTCCTTTATAGATGAGTTTGACAACACACATTGGTCCTCTATCTATCTTTCTGTCCCATACATGCAATCCTTACCATGTACTTATTCCATTTTTTGGTAGTCTTTTTCTCTCCAGAAGACTATAAACTCCTGATAGAGGCGCTCTTGCTCTTTGCCACCACCATGAAAGGTTGCTTTCTGCTCTGTGCTGCTCTGCGTTGGACCCAGCTGAGTATGGACTGAAACCTCCAGTAACTATTCACAGGTTGGGGGC